GTCATTTTGAGAATTAAAAACGTTTATAAATTATACTACATTAAGTCATCGATTGGGTAATTTTAGTACACGTAACTTATGACACTTTTCCGGACAGAGCTCCTTTTTGATTATGTTGCGTACTGTTGCCTGGGTCACGTGGACGGCTTTTGCCACTGACTTTTTTATTCGTGGATTCCCACTTGTTCCAAGACGCTTCTCTTTGCTTGTTTGTTTATAACTAAGCACGGGTATCAAAACCCAGATTCTAGCGTTGTAAGTCCGCAGACATGCCGCTGTGCCATTGGGGGGGGGGGGGCTTCTCTTTGCTTGCCATGGCTGGGGATAGATTTGTTGAAGGTCACTTTCTGGGTGACCCTGGTTACACCAAATTGATCCGTATTCTTTGTTTTCCAATGCCATTATGCCTTGAAAATTCTACATTCCTGATCTTAACATATCTTTATGGTCTGATTATATAAATATTTTGCGTTGAAAAGGGCTGTTAAATACCCTTCCCAGAAGCGTTCAGTTTTCAGTAGCATCACACTATCAACTTTATGTCAAACAATATCAAATTGTAGTTCTGATACATTCCGTTCGACTATAACTATATATTGGCTGTGGTTGTCTCGTAACTTTCTGATTTGCATATTCAAAATCGGTGCAATGTAACGTGCTTAACCCTCTGTATTTCTAAAGACTTTACTTTCATCAGCTTTTCATTTCTGTAAACTTACAAAGGCTAGAACTAAAAAGTGAATTGTGTTATACTGTTGTACCTCTACTCTACCGAATAATATTATTTTTTTAGGCTTATTTTTGTAACTATATAAAAGAAAACATTCATGTGTGATAGCAAACATTTTCATTCAGTGGATTTAGTAGTGAAATCATTATTATTTCCTAAAAATACGAACTTATCATTTTTAAATCTCCAAAGGTTAGAATAACCAAAATGACGTATGAGTGTAATATAATTTTAAAACGTTTTGAACTCTCTAAACAACTAAATTGTTCAATGTAGTAAAAGATGTTTCCATGACATATATTTTAAACCATCGCATACCTCAAGAAGCTTTAGAATGAAACGTATGTTTATGCTATTATATAGGGAAACATTCTAGTCGAGTAAGATCGGACTGTCGAAACGGGCATTGGGAAACCATCGTCCTCTTACATTAAATGGCTTATGAAAAGTTAGCGGTGCAGAGGGGTGGGCTTTGGACATAACAAATCTATGACGGAGTCTTTTTGGATGAAAACTATGTTGCATTGCTGTTTTCAAGATTCACGGTACTTTTAGAAATAGCATGACTATATGGGGCGACTTGGACTGTAATGACGTGGTGAGGCTCCAATTCTTTTTGAGAGAAAGAGCTTTACCATTTTTGTATAGTAGTATTAGTTTTACCATTTTTGTACAATAGTATTAGCTTTACCATTTTTGTACAGTAGTATTAGCTTTACCATTTTTGTACAGTAGTATTAGCTTTACCATTTTTGTACAGTGGTATTAGCTATACCATTTTCTTCCATTACCCGAAATGCACCAAACAATAAAGATGCACGCAGAAGATAGAAAGTCCTTCTAGAATAGACAAGGTATTAATTTACTGTGGAAGAGAACACCTACCTGATTCTGGTAGCAATATAAGTGTCACAATTGCACTAACAACAAGAATCACTCCAACACTTACAAAAGGTAAATAATAGCCATCCACCTAAAAAAAAACAGTGAACGAATTTATAGCGTTACTTACATGTTACTATGGAGTTTTTTCAACAAAAAAGTACATGTTTAAACTACTTTTACCTTGCACCTTTACTTACGCAGGATTAAGTACAAGATATATCAATGATATCCACACCAAGTATACTGACTTAGAAACAAAATATTTAAAAAGATACACCTTCTGCTTGGAATTAGAGCAAAAAATATAATACACATTTAAAAGTATCGTATTTCAAAGTATAAGAGTATTTTGTTTTGACATACTGAAACATGAAAAAATAATAATGGTCGAGAATATTTGAAACGATATAACCCTAACTTAAAAAAGCTTATTAATAACTTATTAAGCCGAAAATAAATTATTTCTTAACACTTAAAACATGAAACAATGACTTATTAAGTTGAAAATAAATTCTTTTGTATTCTTTTTACGTGAATAAAGCATATCCTTCATTGTGAAAGAAATATATAATAAATGAGGGAAATTCTTAACGAAAACGTCTTTATACCTCATAGAGGGCGCCACCTAAAGTAGGTCCAGCAATCAAACCAAATCCATAGGCGGTTTCTAAAGCTCCCTATTTAAAAATGAACAAATCATTATACAAACAAACACGGTAATAAGACATTTTTGTCAACAAATAATTTTGTAATATAAATAACCACTAGGTGGTGTTCTAATTCGAAGATTACACCATGAAATTAAAACAAACCATTTTTACTCTTCTTATAAATGACAGATTTCTAGTTTCTTAAACAGTTATATAAATAAATAATTTTCACCAAAGTACCATTTCAAGATGATGCCGAGTTGTTTTTTTTTTGTTTCAAAGGTTTTAACTCTTTTAAAATTATTACATAAAAACTCCATCAATTCATACAAAGTAGTTGTTGTATTGTTTTAGGTCAGGAGATTTAAATTTGTTCGCAAATTTTGCGTGCATTGTTATGTCTCTTGTAACCAAGGGATTTTATCATATATATGAACTTTGTTAACTCATTATTTTTTACATCAAACGAAGAATACATGTATACTCACGAATGTAGTAGCCACTTTACTAGGGAATTCTGCGGCAATAATTGTAAAACTTGATGTAAGAAACGCTGCAGATCCAACGCCCTCCACGATCCGGATGGCGAATGCCAAAGCAATAAACGGGGTACCGTTTGGTGATTTGTCGATCAACCTTAAAACGCGATAAACATTTACACATATATATACAAGGCACAAACATAAAAAATATTGATACAATTATGTACTTATTACGCGAATTCTGTCAGTGTTCAGTGCTTTGTGCGATCATGAAACATGGATTTTTGTACAGTAGTATTAGCTTTACCATTTTTGTACAGTAGTATTAGGTAAAGCTAATACTACTGTACAAAAATGATAAAGTTAATACTACTATACAAAAATGGTAAAGCTAATACTACTGTACAAAAATGGTAAAGCTAATACTACTCTATTAAAAAACAATGTACATTTATGTGTATGCTAATACGGCTTGATTCCAGTCCATCTAGTCGTTTATTTTTATGCCTTATACTCTGCATATTTTTCGTGATCTACAACGTTTGTTTCTACTGTTTATTTACAGGATTTTAATTCGGTTTCATTGCTGTTCATTGGCGAAAGGTTTTTTCTAGGTAATTCGTGTACGTAAACCAGATAAAAACTGATTACAATTAGGCAATAATGATAATGAACGATGTAAGTCGATGTTATCGGTAGGAAAACATTTTGATGTACAAAACTATTTAGAACTTGATTGTTGAAGAGAGAATTTTGTTTATCTTGTAAAGTTTTATTGTTTCTACAAACAGAAATCGTAATAAGGCCAAGTCACATGATCTTTCAGGCTTTGTGGCTTTAACTGGTGCAGCTCACACATTATAGTAAGCCTGATCTATTCATACCAATTAACCCGGTGAAATTATTTGATTTTTATACAACCTATATTTTCATGTTTTCTAACAAACATAATCTAGGTTTTTGTTCGTTTACTTGCTTGTTTCTGAACTAACGCGGATGGAGAAAAAAATTACAGAGAAATATTTTTTAACATTTTCATATGACACTCTAAACCATACTAAACATAAAGAAATCTAAACTATACTAAACATGAACCAGCAAAAACCATACTAAACATAAACAAGTCTAAACCATACTAAACATGAATCAGCAAAAACTATACTAAGCATGAACAAGTCTAAACCATATTAAACATGAATCAGCAAAAACTATACTAAACATGAACAAGTCTAAACCATATTAAACATGAATCAGCAAAAACTATACTAAACATGAACAAGTCTAAA